TATTACTAAGTTCTACACTAGATGTCATACCTGCAACCCGACTAGGGGGTTACCTATTTAAACTCTCTGCGCCTATTTTGTTTGGTTTTGTTTCAATGACAATGAACTGATGCTCAAGTCTTTAGATCTTTGATGAGGAAAAGAAACATATCCTGTAACAATATTATGCTTTAATTTTCTCCTATACTTTTCATTTTTTGGTAGCGGGTTTTTACTTGCAGATAACCGGTTATCTAATAAACCTACAATTATTTCTAAAATTTCTTTTACACTTTCATGCAATTCTGTGAGATCTTGGAGTGCATCTTCCATAAGAGGAATATGATATTTGATATTGGTCGTAGCATAGATTCCTTCTGTGCTGTGAAAGAGAAAAATCCATTCCGTTGCCAAACTGATAATACCGTATATGTAATAGTAGTCGTAAATATCTAATTCCTTAGCTTTTCGCTTTTTATTAAGCGTGATCAAGTTCATCTAAGTATAAATAAAATTTAGTATAACAAATAAATAATCTTCGATAACAAATGCACAAACTAATATTTACATCACAAGCACTTTTACATTGTATGAGGTTTTGCGCTATACCAATTCCTGGTAGATTTTGTTTTCCTTCTACAATGCATATTAGTTCATCTAATATATCAGTTGTTTTTACTGCAAAGTCGACTCTGCCATTACTTTCAACTCCGGAAATATTCATTTGGGGTGAGACTTTCAAGCTTTCAAGAAAGCTAACCACCGTGTTTAATATGATAGAAATATATTCACACCGCATTGCCTCATTATTATTATTAATAATCAGCCCCATGCTTTTTAGCTTGAGAAGTATAGCATCAACGCAAAGTTTAAGCATCGAATCTTCTTTCTTGATTTGATAAATTACTGGAAAGAAAAAAGCAAGAGAAAAATGAATTACTGCAGATGCCTTATTGATCAGAAATCATATATAACTTAGCATCACAAGCTGCTTACTAGGTGTAAACTGGGTATCTTTAATATATTGTTAGCTTTTATGCCATATTTCATCAAAACACCCCCCAACGCGATATGTTAAAAATGGCCATTTTTTTAATATTTCCGATGGCAGTGTATTTTCTTTGTTTTTTTTTTTTTTTTGATTTCTATTATAATGTATAAAGAGCTGTGATTAGATTCCATTATAATAAGATTATATTGGCCAATTCGTCAGTGGGAATTGGCGAATCTAATCCAAAGATCCTGATAGCAAGAAACAGTGAATGTGCCTGTCATTAATGCAAGATATGGTTTTTACACGACACGCTCCTCCCTGTAGCGCGCAAAATACAGGGCATAGCACATACTGCTCTATCTACCTTCGTTAGCATTTTCACATTCCTGAGAATATGCAAACACTAACCTTTAATTTATCTTTTAGCCATGATGCCTTCTTATAATCTTTTGTACCGCGGTCTAAATTGCTGATTAGAATTTCAAGTTCACGTACCAAAGCACTTCGCGATTCACGTTGCGATAATTTTGGTGCTTCTTTTTGACAGAAAAGATTCTAATTTGCTAATCCCCAGTTGTCGCATAGTTTCTGCCAAAAAGTTGAATAACAAAGTCCTTCCAGTAACATGGTAGAAAAAAAACACAAAAAACTACATGCAGAAATAATAAGAGATATAAAGAAAAACCAATATAACTTTGTATATAAATGTGACATGACTATATATAAATAGTTACCATAGACACATTTTTTAACGACATAGTTCTCAGTGCTTGGAGAGTTTTTAACAACTTTTTCTTATTTTAAATAAGAAGAAAAACTCTTCTTTTGTGATAACGTTGGTTAAACTCCAGTGAACACTACTGCACTAACAGCCAACATCTTTTTTATAACGACTTTTAAATGCTGATTGGTCTATGATCACATGAGAGGCAAGCATTTTTATACTACATACGTATGTACGTACATACATAGTGCACCTGACGGTACACCACATTATATTATATTGTCCGATGCTAGTAACCTCATGTATATGTTGTACCCGGATTTGAAATCCACCTAATTCGGAATCCAGCTGCCCCGATTCAGAATCAGGATGACCGGATTTAGAATTCTTATACGGGGTACCTGGCTCACTATACTAATATTCTAACCCTAATACTAATCTTACTAATTATTGAACCGGGTACCCTGTATAAAAATTCTAAATCTGGCTACCCTGATTCTGAATTGGGACGCCCGGATTCAGAATCGGGCAGATTCTAATCTGGGGTACAACATATATTTATCTTTTTTTTTTTTTGCTAGATTATATTTGTATTTTACTGTTTATATCAGGAATTTAGAGCAGTTTAACCATCACTTCTGTTATTTTTTACTTTGATCTGTGACAAGTTATCACCAAGATCATTAAACCAAAAATTGATTCTTATTGTTGTTTATGAAGTTTAAAAAGCTTATACAACTTATATATATATAAAGGCTTGCCACCCCTGTACCATCTCTGGGGTTTTACTTATTTGCGCGAGTAACACAAACCAAAAAAGGAAATAGAATTTTGTAAATAAACTAAGTGTGTAAAGATAGAAGTTTAGGGTTAGGGAGTTAACATTAGCGGTTATAGCAATAGATTGTTGCTTGCTATATGTAAAATTCTGTTTTTGACATTTTTGATTAGTGTATCAAGGCTAATTTAAACACTAGTTTTTGAGTATTTTCACTTTTTTCTTCTTTCACATGTGTTCTGAACTATCAAATTTTGTGCACTCCGATTGGCCAATTCCTTTTTAAGGAAATCATCAGAAAGATCATTACACAATTTATTAAAGATTATTTATACAGTTTACAATACACTTTTTGTAAGACTATCATGGCATATTTTTATAATATGATGTGAATTAAGTCAGTAAACAAAGTTGTGGCTTTCATATCATACTTTAATAAATCGGTAGGATTCAAGGGGATTCACAGTGATTCATCGGACTTTTTATTATAGTTTTACCTAACATACAAATCACAAAATCTTAATATAAAAGTCTGGTGAATCACCTTGAATCCTACCGATTTATTAAAATACGATATGAAAGTCACAACTTTGCTTACTGACTTAATTTATGTCACATTATAAAAATATGCTACAATAGTCTTACGAAAAGTATATTGTAAACTGTATAAATAATCTTTAATAAATTGTGTAATGATCTTTCTAATAATTTTTTAATTTGGAACAGTCTCACCTGTAGGTTTGTATTACTTGCACAAATAAGTGCATCCCCCGTATTGGTGCCTAGTGTTTTGAACCATCAACCGAAAGTTCAATCGGGGTTGATCCAGGTAGACTTACAGGTATTCTCAGCCAATCGCTGATGTTTGTTTACATCAGGTAAAATAGGCTTAACACTCCTATTTCATTTGATATAAACAAACATCAGTAATTGGCTGAGAATAACCATAAGTCTACCCAGATCAGCTCTGGTTGAACTTTCGATTGAACAGTTCAAAACACTATTGATGCCAACACACCATATTTGGAGTCTCTTAAAGTGGAGCAGATTTTATATAATGATCTATATGCTGCATAAATTGTATTTTTGATATATAAATAACTTATTAACCTTAACTATATCAAAAAGGTAACTCCTAAAACATCAAAAATATAACTTTTTTTAACTTGGCTTTAAGGATTCCATATTTGGAGATCTGCTAAAGCCTTGTATTCACGTGACCAATTATGTATATCAACAATCACAAATATGATAAAATCATATATATTGTCACGGGCTAAAATGAAGAATCTACAAAATTAAGCACAGCAAACCCATGATTGAAGTAATAGATTCAAGAAATACTGGTTTAGGGGAGTAGCACTTATTACATAATATCAAGAGGGGAGTATATAATATATATATATATTATATTGATTTTGATTGGCTAATAAATTTGACGTAGAGGAGAGGGTAGCCC